CCTGCCATGGCTTCCTAAGCAATCCCCCAAAAGACTTGAGAGGAAGGCAAGGCCTGCTGAGCTTCAACACCGCGCTGGCTTATGTACCTCGGCATCAGGCAGACAGGAATGTTGGGGGCCAACCCTTAACCCTAAACCCTAAACCCTAAACCCTAAACCCCGTGGTCGGGCCCCCGAGGCCTCCTCTGCTCGCTTCGCAGCCCTGGAGGCGAACAGTGCCCCCGGACTGCGCGAAGCGCTCCGCGTAGACGCAGCCTCCCAAAAGTAAACCCAAGCAACCAAGAGTTTCGTAGAGGAAGCGCAGAGTATACTGTAGCATACTACGAGTATAATGTGGTATTTCTTTTTTTAAGTTTATGGTCGGCATCCCCTGCCCCTGCCTCCCTTGACACGACTTGGCCATGGCTACAGGCTCTCTCGCCGACACCCATGAAATATCTTGAAACCGCAAACGCGGTCTCTTCGAACCCCCCGGAGCCTCCAAGCAACACGTCCCGAGAACGACAGCAAGCGGGGCGAGTTTCCCATTGATGGGGCTGGCTTGTGGGAGTGCCGTGCAGCTCACGGCGGTGTCGCGCAGCTGCGGTTTGGACATCCGGTGAGAGAGGAGGCTACAAGAGCTATCAAACCTCCGACAACATCCACCTGCCAACAGAAGTCCGGACCCGTGCTACCGACAAAGGCGACGGCAGAGAGAATCAGAGGGAGGCGCAGCCTCTACGCTTACGCCCTCGCACGGCTCGTGATGAGTGTGCGTGAACGTTTTGGGGTTCGAAGCTGTCAGTGTGAGGCAGCACTTGCTATTGCACCTCCTGCATCCCGAATCCCGGCCTCCAGCGCCAGCAGAAGCCGCCTGGCCTCCACATTTTGGACGAGACTCGGTGATGGCCACGGCTCCACCGGATACGTTCACCTTCGCAGCATGGATGGCGCCTGCAGACATGGTCGTGTCTCAAGAGCAGGACCCCTTTTAAAAGGGAGCTCTTCCTCCACGCCTCCAAAACATGGAACTCGCTACCCTACAGTTACCCTTCGCGAACATGGGAAGCCTTCCCAGACATGCTACTGGAAGATACTGGAAGAGGTGAGCCGGCAGAATTCTTCAACAGCTCCTGACAGCTCAAAATAAGAAGCTCCACCCCCCTCTCCCCGCCTCCACTCCCACAAGCCGAAGAGCCCTTGATTGTCAGGATCCCACCGGAGACCATGACGAGATCCACAGCAAAGATCGCACCTGCACATTCCCCGCGAAGCTAACATGCCTCCTGAGCTTCCGTCGATTCGACATAGCTGCAGAAGAGAATGAACAAAATAAGGGCCATGATCTAATGTACTGTGATATGATCTGATGAGCATTCGTTTACTTTGTTCTATATTGTGACGTTATGTTAGTTATGTTGTATAATGTTATGTTTACATAACTTAAACATCTAAGACAGAATAGCGGCTCAGCTTGTTTGGTGCCTCCGAAAGAGCCCGAGAACAATCGCACCCGAGAGTTCACTGGCTAACTCAAAGAGCTGTCTGTGCTCATACCATACCATAGCCCTTCAACCCGTCGAACCCCTCTTAACATGGAGGTCAACCCATTCCGTTTCGAGCGACCAAGCCTAGCAAAATCTTCCTCCGCGTGTCTGACACGTAGACGTAGTTTGAAGGTGAGTTTGCTGAATCCGTAGACACCGTTCTCTCAACCAACCCGGTACAAACAGGCCGCAACTCGGACCCATTACAGCTTGTCTGTGCAAATCTCCCTTCCACCTGCATCGCCTCCTAACAGGAGAAAAGGTCGTCAAGCATTGCGTACCACTTCTGCGGTCTCAGTCCATGTCCAGTCACCAAGACAGCGACAAACCCCTCTGGCCTCCATCCTCTTTGACAGCCACAGAGTCCTGGATGGTCAGGTTGCCACCGGAGATCACCATGTACACCACCCAGATGGCACCTGCGTGCATAGCAGAGAGAATCGACAGCTGCCTCCCACAGACCTTCTCTCGACCCCAACCGAAGCACCAACCAACGACGTGTTTTCGCGCAGGGTGGGGCTCGACCGATGCGACGACGTACACGTGTTTGTCAGAATCTTAGTGATGACCTTCCTTCACTTCCCGAAGCAGCATATGGAGGCAGGGTCTTGGCAGAGTGTGCCCCGCTACAAACCATAGCCCCACGGGGATGCGAGAGCATCTCCTTACTACACATCTTTGGGTCATGTGTAGACTAACCTGACTGTCTTGCAGCCTTACAGTCTCCACCAAGAACAGCCCCCAAATAGGCGGGCCGGCTTCTTGCGATCGTCCCGGAAAGCAAGCCCTGGCCTCCATTCCCTCGGGAAGTCTTAGAGTCCTCGATGCTTAGGTTGCCACCGGAGATCACCATTTCCCCCGCCCAGATGGCACCTGCAGTTGTGGCAGAGTCACTCGGTTCGCGAGACAGCAAACGGCGGGGTCATATTACAAGCCACACAGCTGCCTATCACAACGGGGTCTTGCGACATCGACATCCAGTGAGCTAGCCATGACAATGGCGCCACCAATCCGAATTTCCGAGCAGGTCGTTTCTAAGAGGGAGCCCGCAAACCCAGCCTTTACATCGAAGACCCCTCCGCCCTCTGCGGCCCAAGTCCCCGGACCCTGGCCTCCATCCTTTCGAGCTTCAGACCGCGTGATGTTCAGGTTGCCACCGGAGATCACCATTTCCCCCACCCAAATGGCACCTAAAAGCTGCAGATTAAATCAGGATGGGGCTCGACTTCCCCGAAGACTACTTGGAGGATCACGAGACTTAGTAAGTAAGGTTATAAGTCCCTGAATTGGGGTTATACGTATAGTTACCCTAGTTATTAACCCTACTTACTAAGTCCCATGATCCTCCAAGTAAGCCAGGGACTACGCCCACAGCTTTCGGCTTGCACATTATGGGAGCTTCCCTTATAATAAGGGTCCTACTATTTAGGGTACTATATTAGGGTCCCCTGTTTTCGGAAACTCCCTTATCTTCGCCAACGATCCGCAAACGCACTCGGGCCAACAACCGACCGCACACGAGTGCACCGGGCGGGAGCGCCGGGTTAGGGTTTAGGGTTTAGGGTTTAGGGTTTTGGGGCCCATCCTACTATAATTATAGTAAGGAGGCCCCCCAAAATAGTGAAAAGCTCACACCTTCTCCCTCGGCCCTTTCCCTCTGGTGGGCTTCCATCTCTGGCAGCCCAGCCAGATTGGAGCCCAGTCGCAGTTTTCAAGGCTCACTCTCTCAGCACATGGCTAGTTCTCTAAATTGGGGTCCCTTCTTGGGTCCTTTTTATAAGGGTGCCGTACTATATTGGGGACCTAAAGAGGGACCCTAATTTAGAGAACTACCCACATCTCACAACATGCATTGAAATTCCCCCTCCCGAGATGCCGCCTCCCTCACCATCACGCGCCACTTCGCAACCATGCAGGAGCAACTGGCCACCAAGAAGTTCGGCGGTGCTTTCCACACGGAGACAACCTCCTCGGCCTTTATGATTCTGATTCTTGCAGCCCGCCAGGCTGAGGCGTGCCTCGTGCTGCAAGGTGAAGTTGCCCTGGACGGCGACGCAGGGGCCGCTCATAGCGTCGACGGCCCTCACGCTCAGCTGCCCTGCGAAGACAGCGCTGCCCTGGAAGCGCACGGGCGCGGAGAGCAGCAGCTCCGCACCTAGGCTTCGTTGACCGGACCCTCGGAATTTCCGCATAACCCTTGGGTTTCGGTATCGCTAAGGGTCCCACTCCCGGTTACTCGGCATGAGGGCCCCTCCACAAGGATCTCCTCCTTCACCTGCGACATTGCAGGGCACAATTCGCGGGGTTCAGGTGTTGGGGTCTCCGTGTTTCCGTGAGCAAATAGATGTGATCATCAGCTCTGGCCAGCGAACCTCTGACTCCGAAACAGTGCAAAGAAAAGGTGGGGCAGGATCAAATTTCACGACATAACCTAAATTCCTGAATGGGCCTCGTAGTGTCCGTCGAGGTGCAGGAGGCCGTCGGAACACTTTGGAAGGCCAATCTGCACCCGAGCTTTACAGAAGTGTTGTCTCCAGAGGTTGGTGTTTAGAGTCGCGGGTTTGGGGTTTAGGGGCACCTTCGAAGTTGGGGTCGACTTTTCTACTTCTGGCAGACGAAGAGTTCAAGTCCTCAGCTCAAACCTCGTCTTCGGGGCGTCTGCGGACGTTCCACTTCCGCCAATCCAAAATTTAAGACACAGTTCCTGCAGGAATTCACAAAAAACCCTAGCGTCTGCACAAGGACTGCTCTTGTGCCTTCACATCCGTTCGGGCTCTATCCGCCGTCTCCTCGAGGCATGAGACATGGGCGAAAACTCGCATCCAAACATTGCCCAAAATGGTGCTTGGCCTGCACATGCACACTGGAGCAAGCTGCATGGGTCGCGTGTGGCGTCCTGTCTTCCGTGAGCAACAAGCGGTGCTTTGCTCTGCTCTTCCTCCTCAGACTCCCTGGCGCCGTGACCTGGGCGCCAGCACGAAAGCCTTGCCACAGGCCACAGGCGAGCTTGGCCCTTCACGGCGAGTCAGGAAGCTGTCGACTTCGTGCAGGAAGCGCTGCTCAGCAACGCCTGCAAGATGCATGGGACCAAACAGCCCCATAGAAGAAGGCAACCGCTGAGCCCTGCGCGTTCGGCCGACAGGAGATATGATTGGACGGCAGAAATCAGGAGCCAGCGCACGACCATGTGGCCGTGGCCGAGGAGCCTTTAAGCGCCACGGTCCATGGACGACACGAATCCTAGCTTTCGCAAACCTGCGTGATACACTCACTGCCCGGGGCAAAAGCCTGAAAGCCCACGGGCTGCAGATACAACGCAATCTTGCTTAGGGCTCGGGGAGTGTTCGGACCACAAGCTCTCACCCAGCTCTCCGGAAAGCCCGCAAGTTGACGGTACACAAGGATGGAATTTGAAGCTGACAATCCGAAATGTTGGACTGATTCAAAGGCAATCCGAGTGATTGCGACCAAATGCGACCCAAAAGCATGACTTGCAAACGATTCAAAAGACCTTCCAAAACCCAACGCAAATCACATCAAACTTTGCGGCACCTCGTTACACAGAACTGTGCCCGACAATCGTAATCGCGCTCCGTACCAGTCCGTACCAGCCAGCTGCTGGACTACAGCAATCGCTTCCGAGTTTTACACACTTAAAGGCTCGGCAAGTACGTAGAAATCGGAGGCTCGCTGCTGCAATCTTTTTGACGTGTCTACTTCGTATGGCTTTCCGTCATGTTCAAGTGAAACATAATTTTCTGCAGGTGAGACCGCAGCGAGCTGATCTGGGACTGCTGCGAGCTGACTTCCATCAGCAATGGGCCAGACATGTGAGACACACGGGACAAGATGTGTGCTTTGCTGGGCAAAGCTTGAACAAAGCTGACTTCAACCGCAGTAGCAAGTGCTGACAGCATGCGCGCATCGGATACGTTGCCTGCACCCATCGCGTGCTCAGCCATCCGCCCATTTGATCTGATTCCACCACCTTCCTGATGGAAGAAAACTGCTGTTGATGTAGCGCAAGAAGCAGCACCAAAGTCGCACCAACTGCATGTTACCTCACCTGTGGATCTGTCTTTGCAAAGCAAATTGCCTCAGCGCGCATCCGGGTGGATGAGACCGGTGATGACTGCCATTGATGCAATGTCATGTGAAGCCCAAAACACAAAAAAACAGCCACTCATCCCAAGGCAGCTTGTCTGGCTTTGCAAGAAGCTTTTCTACAACGCCATCAGCTTTGTCATCCATGCTCAGTATTGCCTCCTGCAAGCCGGAACAAGCGGAATAAGTTTCTTCGAGACCACACAGATGGAGCAATCTGTTTTGGACACTTGGGATTCCGAAAGCCAGAAGGTGCCTTGGCAGCCTCTGCAGCCAGTTGCCGTTCGATGTTTTTCGTAATAGAACTGCGGGCAGCAATGCAAAAGCGGCAAGCGCTCAGGAGACACTCATGTTTTACCTCGGCTCACTGGGATCTGTATCTGTTTTGTGTGGCTTGAGCCACCGACGTCAGAGGAAAGCAGCACTTCACGTGTGGGCAATCAGGTTGACACGGGCAACGGGACTATCTCTACAGCACCCCCAAATTAAAGTTGCCCACAACGTATAATGCTGCTCCTGGTACTCCTTGACCAACCACGGATGCCGAGTGACGTTCGGTTTAGGCTTCCGTTTCCTA